GCTCCAGTGCAGATCCCTCAGCCTGCTAGCACAGATCCTTCATCCCGCTGGCACAGACTTCCTAGATTCCACCACTGACCTTTGGGCCTTCCCAGAACAGATCTGTGAAACAAGCCTGCATGAGATATTGTTATGGGCTCTAGGTCTTCAACTAGACTCGTGCAGGACATTTCCATGGGATCCAGGCCCTCAGCTGGATTCCTTGGTCTTAGTGTGTGGACAGATTTCCTGTACTTTTTTGTATATCATTCCTTGGGTGACTTTTATAAATAATCTTATAAAATATGTGTCCTGTATTCTATTATTGTTTCCTTGCAAAATATGCCCCAAACCGACACACCATCTTATCAAAAGACAAAATCACAACAAGCTTAAAGGTCTTCATGGGCTTCTATTCACCACTGTAGAATGGGCGGCACCAGAAATAGAACAGCTTTTAAGAGCTCTGGAGCTGGAACACAGTCAGACAACAATGACGCCCAGAAACAAAGCTATGTCCAGAGACAGCTTGAGAGGAGCCTTACTTGAGTCTGCCGGCCTCCTGTGAGTGACCGGTGAGGCCTGAACCTTGGCGACATCCTCAGACTTAAACCTAATTTAACATTTTAGAGGGTGGTGACAGCTGCCCAAGGTCAGCTTTTGATGTAGTTCCTGTCTACAGTCAGTGGAGATTCAGCGCTGGGCTGGAAAGTGTGCATCCTGGAAGAGATGTGCATTGTTTCATCTCTCTGCAGGACAACTTGGCTGAGCTCATCAAAAGCCCGGATGTGCCTACATTCTTGACACAATGATTCCATTTCTGGGAAGCTGAGTAATCAGAGAAGCTCATAAAAGTTAGCATATAAGAAATGCATCGGAGGCTTAGGTATATCAGGGCAAAGTGGAAATCTTTTCCTTGTTTGACTCTAAATAATTACAAAGGAGAATGGCTGGAGTGTGTAAACATTCTCTGGGAGGTTAGGTAGCCTAAATATTATGAAAGGATACTTGATGTCAGAAAAATAATGTGGAATTTAAAGGGACAAAGAAAATTAGAAGCACACATATCATGTAGTATACACTGATCATCTGATTGCAGGATCTTAGGTAAAAAATGTTTTGTTACTCTTATTTTGTAACTTTCATCTAAGACCATATTTTATAATCTATAAGAAATGTTATTTTTAAAAATAAACCTGTGATCATAAAGATTTCAGATATAAAGAAATTGATACTATATGTACATATATAATATATATACATTATATATATATAATTAGGATATGCTTACAGCAGTATTTACCTAGCATCATCTGAGTATTGTTGTAAATAAGCACATTTTCCATACAACCAG